GGCGATCGATAATAAGGTGGGAAATCCTTGAGGCTTGCCTCGTCTCATCGTGTCTTTTTGTATGTAGGCGTATCAGAGTCGAATATGCTATTTGACTGATGCCTGCATCTGGATGTGTGCTGATCTCTATTTATTCGGGGACACCGAGAATGGGGATGCTGAATGCCCACCTGCTGAAAGCGATCCAGAATCTTGGCGGCGCGCAAGATTCTTGACACCCGATGTCACAATGGTATGGTGAATTTTCGTAGTGTTTGTTGTCGGAGTATCTGATTTCAGAATCCACTGGCGTCGCCGCTGCATGCTGACCTAACTCCACTTAGAGACATCCCTATTATCGTTCAGGTAGAGCCTTGTGAAGTATCAGATCTGCGTTGCCCTTCCCCTGTTAGAGTGGGGACAGCGAGGGTCTGCTTGTGGACACTCTTGCATTGGCGCGAAGAGCGAAAGTGTATGGTCTGTCGAAATTGTCCATCGAGGTTTATACCGACATGTTTCATATCTTCCCGCTTTTTGCATGGGTGAGAGATGGGGTCTCCGCGCTTGAGATTGGTGAAGCTTCTTCAGCTGCTGCCGTCGGGCATGGTCGCCGTTAACCGCATGTCCAAATTTCTGGCAAAGCGAATATGTCTATCAATGAAGGGCGCCACGACATGTCCTATGGAGAGTCCAATGGTTTCCTCGACGGTATCGGTGGTGGAAAAAGACGGAGCGATGCAGAAGCGAAGAATATCTGCCTGGAATGGCGCCACCAGTCCAGGTAGGTCATGAGCTAGGCCATGGGGATGAGTCGTAGTGTTCCAGGAGGTGAAATGATGGTCTCCGGTGTAATGGCTCCCCTTGGAGTTCAACCTTCTGCGTCATCTGATAGCTCATCGAGTGATGATGATGACGAGGAGTATGGTCAAATGAGAACGTCTTTCAAAGTAAGATTGCGATAGGCTACATCAAAGTGTAGTGGAGATAACCTTGCCGTCTTAGTCCGTAGTCAGCGTACCTCACGGCTGCCACAAATTGGTTAATAGCCCGGAGATTTGCGAGAACCTCTGCCAGTATCATTTGCGGAAGCATAGCAGCACTCCCGACTGCACTCAGGAGAACGGCGGTGTGGCCCCCACTGTTAAGGTCGGCTATCATATTCGTATCGTTTTAGCGCGACAGCAATTCTGCCCAGTGTTGAGTACTCTCAGCTGCTCGTATCCGGATTGTTATTCACATCTCAAAATGCGATAGTCTTAAATGTTGTATTTTGCATGTTTCAGGCCAGCTCCCCTGGCGCCGACACATTTACCGTTATTACGAGTTAAGTCGAATACATGTTGCATCCATATCATACTAGGAGTCTCATTTTTTGTCCTGATCACTGCATGAGAATTGAGCTCAATACTGGACGCTCTGGGCTTTGCCTCAAACCCTCAGGGTTTTCAGTATCTTACACGTGATGATCTCGCCGTCGATTCGTTTCTCGTCACATCTAGAAAGATGGTGACAGGACACTGGTACAACGGTGCCAGACCGCCAATGCAGGCGGGATTGATTAAGTCCGATTGAACTCACTGGAGCTACTCCGAGGATCTTTTACTACTCCATCATAAGCCTCAGAATGATCTGCCGATAAACGTTATGCATAGATGTAATCTGCTTCAAACCAATTACCTCATGGCTGGCTTGTTGTGAATAGCTTGAACATTATCATCATCGTACTAGCGTATGACTCTCCTTAGATCTCCCAGCCGCATACTTCCCTCCTTTCCGCATTCACCGTCTTAAACCTGGAGAACTTTGGCCTGACGATGCGCTCAAAAAGGTAGCTACTAACCTACAAGGAACTCGCTTGGGGCTTCATGGGATGATTTGGTCTCTAAAGCGAGAAGCCGCCGATGGGAAATGCCCACCAAATCTTCGCAGCCAGAATTGAGCCCGAAAACCGCGGTTATCGCTTGGGCAGCTTGATGATTCGTCGCTGATGAGCTGTGGACGATGTTCATGAAGGTGATGTTGTAACTGACATTCATTATTGTCTTGTGATCACTAACTTCTGTATCGAGTTGTTCGTTGTTGGTGCTGGGCTGTTATGGTTTTGCTGACTGGGG